TTGAAAGACTGAAAGAACTTTGCCCAAGCTCTTGCAGATGGTCGTGCCTGAGGTTTTCAACGTTGCTGTTTTCAATTACTGCTGCCAAGACATTTCTTCCGGTTGTTCAGAGGGGAACGCGCCGATACTTTTCCTCATGTCCCTGCAACAGTGTTTTGGTGGGTCATGGCTCAAAGATGACACTCCAGTCACAGTGACTTCTAGATTTCTACAAATCTACAGCCAGCTCAGACTGCAGACGACGCACGCAGCATAGTCGCTGGCCTTTACGAACTGAGCACCTGGATATCGAAACCGAAGACGGACATGTCCTGGGGAGCAGATCGCAAAAAGATTTCAGGATTCCCTTTGAACGAGAGACAAAGCACGATTGGGTTGTCCTGCCAAACGCTTTTAACTGCTGCATCCCTTCAGCATTGACATTTGTAGGGAAGCCTTTTGTTGGAAACGTTGCAAGGACCAACACACAGCGCACATTACACATTCCCCAGGTATCTTTAGATGGCGTAGTCGAAGGACGAGCTGAACACCTCCTCGGGGGCCACCTGAGTAATCTTGGGATGTCCAGAGAAAGTGAAAACGTGGCTCGCGTACAAAAGTTTGAGTGTTTGCCAAGTTGCGTATTCGTTGTGTAGCAGTGAACTCCTGGCTTGCGGCGTGCTCCGCGTTTCTTCCTGGTGACTCCACAGGCTGCTCAATATTCAAAGCTGCGGTGAATGCACATGCTTGCTGCTCATGCCAGCAGTTCGAAATTAGCACCAGCCAGGGCCTGTGTCTCAAGGAATTGGCTTTTAAGTGCTGCCGCCCTTCAGCATTGACATTGGTAGGGTAGCCTTTTGTTGGAAACGTTGCAAGGACCAGCACCCAGCGCACATTACACATTCCCCAGGTATCTTTAGATGGCGTAGTCGGAGGACGAGCTGAACACCTCCTCGGGGGCCACCTGAGTAATCTTGGGATGTCCAGAGAAAGTGAAAACGTGGCTCGCGTACAAAAGTTTGAGTGTTTGCCAAGTTGCGTATTCGTTATGTAGCAGTGAACTCCTGGCTTGCGGGGTGCTCCGCGTTTCTTCCTGGTGACCCCACAGGCTGCTCAATATTCAGAGCTGCGGTGAATGCACATGCTTGCTGCTCATGCCTGCAGTTCGAAATTAGCACCAGCCAGGGCCTGTGTCTCAAGGAATTGCCAAGCGCCTTTAACTGCTGCCGCCCTTCAGCATTGACATTGGTAGGGTAGCCTTTTGTTGGAAACGTTGCAAAGACCAGCACCCAGCGCACATTACACATTCCCCAGGTATCTTTAGATGGCGTAGTCGAAGGACGAGCTGAACACCTCCTCGGGGGCCACCTGAGTAATCTTGGGATGTCCAGAGAAAGTGAAAACGTGGCTCGCGTACAAAAGTTTGAGTGTTTGCCAAGTTGCGTATTCGTTGTGTAGCAGTGAACTCCTGGCTTGCGGGGTGCTCCGCGTTTCTTCCTGGTGACTCCACAGGCTGCTCAATATTCAAAGCTGCGGTGAATGCACATGCTTGCTGCTCATGCCAGCAGTGCGAAATTAGCACCAGCCAGAGCCTGTGTCTCAAGGAATTGCACTTTACGGAACCAAACAGAGTGGCAAAAGCCTCAACGGGAAACCTGGCTTGAAAGCCATACTCACAGCACGCCGACGCATGAGTCAAAGCAAATGAACTTGTCAGTTTCCTATTCCTATGTAGCCCGCGAACATGGTCAGGCAGATGCTTTCGCGATGTGAAAATCCTGTCGCAGAGTGCCGATACGGCATGACTGCATATGACGAACTGTGGCTGCCGATTTGCACCTAGGCTCTGCAGATGAAGCAGCTTAAGGCACCTGCCTCTTGGACTGCATCAAAGAAAGTGAGAACTTGCTTCTCCGCCTGAATGTGGCAGCCCTCTCTCATGAATGCCCAATACAGAGGTTTGGGTGTGCTGCAACCTTGAAATAGGATGATGCATACCAAGAATAGGCTAAAGGGTCGCCTGCACTTTCATTTTTGAAGCGAAAGCTAACGGACATGTTATATCAGCTGGTGGGACGACATTTTTTTGCAGCTCAGAGCAGAGGAAATGGGTTTGCTCCTAAGCTGGCTGTGGCCTTGCTGGGAATTGACGAAATGCAGACAAAAGGGCAGATTCAATCTCATCATGAGCGGTCTGTCCCATTCCTTCAGATGTGCAAAGTTCGAGCCAAAATATCCACAAAGCAGATCCCCGATATTGCACAACACAAGAGCGCCGGTGCAGATACGAACTGGTGGAAGTGCTACTAGATTGAGCAGTCTCTCAGCAGATGATGCATGGTAGAGCAAGAACGGATCGGCCATATACCTGTAGTGGGCAAACCTTGCATAGAACTTCATCTCTTGGCATGGCCGATGTCATCATCTTTTGCAGGTGGTCATGCCTGAGTTTCTCAACGTTGCTGTTTTCAACTACTGCTGCCAAGACATTCCTTCCGGTTGTTCAGAGGGGAACGCGCCGATACTTTTCCTCATGTCCCTGCAACAGTGTTTTGGTGGGTCATGGCTCAAAGATGAGACTCCAGTCACAGTGACTTCTAGATTTATACAAATCTACAGCCAGCTCAGACTGCAGACGACGCACGCAGCATAGTCGCTGGCCTTTACGAACTGAGCACCTGGATATCGAAACCGAAGACGGACATGTCCTGGGGAGCAGATCGCAAAAAGATTTCAGGATTCCCTTTGAACGAGAGACAAAGCACGATTGGGTTGTCCTGCCAAAAGCTTTTAACTGCTGGATCCCTTCAGCATTGACATTTGTAGGGAAGCCTTTTGTTGGAAACGTTGCAAGGACCAACACACAGCCAATGACAGCGCACATTACACTAACAGCACGCCAACGCATGAGTCAAAGCAAATGAACTTGTCAGTTTCCTATTCAAATGTAGCCCGCGAACATGGTCAGGCAGATGCTTTCGCGATGTGAAAATCCTGTCGCAGAGTGCCGATACGGCATGACTGCATATGACAAGAACTGTGGCTGCCGATTTGCACCTAGGCTCTGCAGATGAAGCAGCTTAAGGCACCTGCCTCTTGGACTGCATCAAAGAAAGTGAGAACTTGCTTCTCCGCCTGAATGTGGCAGCCCTCTCTCATGAATGCCTAATACAGAGGTTTGGGTGTGCTGCAACCTGGAAATAGGATGACGCATACCAAGAATAAGGCGAAAGGGTCGCCTGCACTTTCATTTTTGAAGCGAAAGCTAACGGACATGTTATATCAGCTGGTGGGACGACATATTTTTGCAGCTCAGAGCAGAGGAAATGGGTTTGCTCCTAAGCTGGCTGTGGCCTTGCTGGGAATTGACGAAATGCAGACAAAAGGGCAGATTCAATCTCATCATGAGCGGTCTGTCCCATTCCTTCAGAGCAAAGTTCGAGCCAAAATATCCACAAAGCAGATCCCCGATATTGCACAACACAAGAGCGCCGGTGCAGATACGAACTGGTGGAAGTGCTACTAGATTGAGCAGTCTCTCAGCAGATGATGCATGGTAGAGCAAGAACGGATCGGCCATGTACCTGTAGTGGGCAAACCTTGCATAGAACTTCATCTCTTGGCATGGCTGATGTCATCATCTTTTGCAGGTGGTCATGCCTGAGTTTTTCAACGTTGCTGTTTTCAACTACTGCTGCCAAGACATTCCTTCCGGTTGTTCAGAGGGGAACGCGCCGATACTTTTCCTCATGTCCCTGCAACAGTGTTTTGGTGGGTCATGGCTCAAAGATGAGACTCCAGTCACAGTGACTTCTAGATTTCTACAAATCTACAGCTCACCCTGCAGACGACGCACGCAGCATAGTCGCTGGCCTTTACGAATTTAGCACCTGGATATCGAAACCGAAGACGGACGTGTCCTGGGGGGCAGATCGCAAAAAGATTTCAGATTCCCTTTGAATGAGAGACAAAGCACGATTGGGTTGTCCTGCCAAACGCTTTTAACTGCTGCATCCCTTCAGCATTGACATTTGTAGGGAAGCCTTTTGTTGGAAACGTTGCAAGGACCAGCACCCAGCGCACATGACACATTCCCCAGGTATCTTTAGATGGCGTAGTCGGAGGACGAGCTGAACACCTCCTCGGGGGCCACCTGAGTAATCTTGGGATGTCCAGAGAAAGTGAAAACGTGGCTCGCGTACAAAAGTTTGAGTGTTTGCCAAGTTGCGTATTCGTTGTGTAGCAGTGAACTCCTGGCTTGCGGGGTGCTCCGCGTTTCTTCCTGGTGACTCCACAGGCTGCTCAATATTCAGAGCTGCGGTGAATGCACATGCTTGCTGCTCATGCCTGCAGTTCGAAATTAGCACCAGCCAGGGCCTGTGTCTCAAGGAATTGCCAAGCGCCTTTAACTGCTGCCGCCCTTCAGCATTGACATTGGTAGGGTAGCCTTTTGTTGGAAACGTTGCAAAGACCAGCACCCAGCGCACATTACACATTCCCCAGGTATCTTTAGATGGCGTAGTCGAAGGACGAGCTGAACACCTCCTGTTCAACACAGGATGTCCCATGCTATTCTGCTGCTTTGTACGGCCGTGTGTCAAAGAGGCAAGAAAGTGTACATTTGCAGTGCATGAGAGCAGTGCACGTGCCTCCAGATCTGTTGCAATTGTCGCATACTTTTGTGGCAAGACTTTGCAGGATTTTATGCGTGCAGCAGACCGGGTCTACTACCCAGCTGTCTCATGGTGTCTTGAAGGAAGCAATGGCCTTCAAAAGTTGTTCCCTCGCAAGCAGCTGCTGGGACACGACGGCATGAGAGTGGCAGGTGATTTGCAGAAGCCTTGGCTCCCTCTGTTCTTGCGGCAGAAAGCTTTGGAGGTTGACTCCCGCAATCTGATATTTGCCTGGGTTCAACACAGGATGTCCCATGCTATTCTGCTGCTTTGTACAGCCGTGTGTCAAAGAGGCAAGAAAGTGTATATTTGCAGTTCATGAGAGCAGTGCACGTTGCGCAAACAATTGCAGGGCCTCCAAACCTGTTGCAATTGTCACATACTTTTGTGGCAAGACTTTGTAGGATTTCACGCCTGCAGATGACAGTGTCTACTGCCAAGTTGATTAAACGTGTTTTGCAGGAATCAGTGGCCTTCAAGGGTTGTTCCTTTGCAAGCAGCTGCTGGGACACGACTTGAGAGTGGCACGTGATTTGCAGATTCCTTGGCTCCCCATGTTCTTGCGGCAGAAAGCTTTGGAGGTTGACTCCCGCAATCTGATATTTGCCTGGGTTCAACACAGGATGTCCCATGCTATTCTGCTGCTTTGTACGGCCTTGTGTCAAAGAGGCAAGAAAGTGTATATTTGCAGTTCATGAGAGCAGTGCACGTTGCGCAAACAATTGCCGGGCCTCCAAACCTGTTGCACTTGTCACATACTTTTGTGGCAAGACTTTGTAGGATTTCACGCCTGCAGCCGTCAGTGTCTACTGCCAAGTTGATTAAACGTGTTTTGCAGGAACCAGCGGCCTTCAAGGGTTGTTCCTTTGCAAGCAGCTGCTGGGACATGACGAGATATGACAGACCTGCCAGATATACCTTTTACCCATACCAACGGATCTGGGGGTTCCTTCACATCCGCGCGCACAATTTTTTCATCGAGGAACAAATCTCGCAAGAGTGCTTGTATTGTCCAGACGCTGCATGCAGTGTGGTATGCTCTGCCTTTGGAGAGGTATTGCTTGAGGGGCACCCAAGAAAGGAATCTAGGGATGTAGTGTGAACCGTTTTATGCGTCTTTTGGAGTTGAAGTCGTTGCACTGGAGCCGCAGATCTTGAATTTGAAGCGCAAGTTCCTTTCATTTGATTGCGAAGGTTGTGGCAGAAGACAAAGTCAACTGATTGTCCCTCTCTTTATTTTTTCCGCTTCAGTTCATTTGAGACATGACGTGCATAAATCCCTTCCGGGTTGTGCTGAAGTCCAGTTGCGATTGTGTCAGAGACACCGCAGTGTCAGCGAAGTCCATACCCTTGATGCTCTCCAGCTGGGGGACCACGGATTGGCATGCCCACTCTCCAGTTCTTTCGTTGGGAGGGCATCAAAAGAAGTTCGGCTTAATGTTTCAACCTGGGTCATCAAGGAGAGCACAAAATGCAGAGAGATTTGTCTTGCGCTTCGCGGTACGAGATGAGGACAGCGAGTCTCCCAAAGCATTCTCCCACTCCCGGTTTTTACTGATTCCACCCAGCCTGCTATGATTTTTGATTCTTGAAGAATGGCAAGATGGCGCAGCTGTGGGTAGTTGACCGCCAAAAGATAGGCACAGCATGTGATTTGGAAAAGCCTCAGCTTCCCACTCTGTTCTTGCAGCAGAAAGCTCTGGAGGTTGACTCCCGTAATATGATGTTTGCCTGGGTTCAACACAGGATGTCCCATGCTATTCTGCTGCTTTGTATGGCCTTGTGTCAAAGAGGCAAGAAAGTGTACATTTGCAGTGCATGAGAGCAGTGCACGTTGCCCAGACCTCGCAGGGCCTCCAAACCTGTTGCAATTGTCACATACTTTTGCGGCAAGACTTTGTAGGATTTCACGCCTGCAGATGACAGTGTCTACTACCAAGTGGATTAAACGTGTTTTGCAGGAACCAGTGGCAACCAGTGGCCTTCAAAGGTTGTTCCTTTGCAAGCAGCTGCTGGGAAGCCACGACTTGAGAGTGGCACTTGATTTGCAGATTCCTTGGCCCCCTATGTTCTTGCAGCAGAAAGCTTTGGAGATTGACTCCCGCAATCTGATATTTGCATGGGTTCAAGAAAGGATGTTCCATGCTATTCTGCTGCTTTGTATGGCCTTGTGTCAAAGACGCAAGAAAGTGTATATTTGCAGTGCATGAGAGCAGTGCACGTTGCGCAAACAATTACAGGGCCTCCAAACCTGTTGCAATTGTCACATACTTTTGTGGCAAGACTTTGTAGGATTTCACGCCTGCGGATGACAGTGTCTACTACCAAGTTGATTAAACGTGTTTTGCAGGAACCAGTGGCAACCAGTGGCCTTCAAGGGTTGTTCCTTTGCAAGCAGCTGCTGGGAAGCCACGACTTGAGAGTGGCACTTGATTTGCAGATTCCTTGGCCCCCTATGTTCTTGCAGCAAAAAGCTTTGGGGATTGACTCCCGTAATCTGATATTTTCATGGGTTCAACGCAGGATGTCCCATGCTATTCTGCTGCTTTGTACGGCCTTGTGTCAAAGACGCACGAAAGTGTATATTTGCAGTGCATGAGAGCAGTGCACGTTGCGCAAACAATTGCTGGGCCTCCAAACCTGTTGCAATTGTCACATACTTTTGTGGCAAGACTTTGTAGGATTTCACGCCTGCAGATGACAGTGTCTACTGCCAAGTTGATTAAACGTGTTTTGCAGGAACCAGTGGCCTTCAAGGGTTGTTCCTTTGCAAGCAGCTGCTGGGACATGACGAGATATGACAGACCTGCCAGATACACCTTTTACCCATACCAACAGCTCTTGGGGTTCCTTCACATCCACGCGGACAAACTTTTTATCGAGGAACAAATCTCGCGAGAGTGCTTGCATTGTCCAGACGCTGCATGCAGTGTGGTATGCTCTGCCTTTGGAGAGGTATTGCTTGAGGGGCACCCAAGAAAGGAATCTAGGGATGTAGTGTGAACCGTTTTATGCGTCTTTTGGAGTTGAAGTCGTTGCACTGGAGCCGCAGATCTTGAATTTGAAGCGCAAGTTCCTTTCATTTGATTGCGAAGGATGTGGCAGAAGACAAAGTCAACTGATTGTTCCTCTCTTTATTTTTTCCGCTTCAGTTCGTTTGAGACATGACGTCCACAGATCTCTTCCAGGTTGTGCTGAAGTCCAGTTGCGATTGTGTCAGAGACACCGCAGTGTCAGCGAAGTCCATACCCTTGATGCTCTCCAGCTGGGGGACCACGGATTGGCATGCCCACTCTCCAGTTCTTTCGTTGGGAGGGCATCAAAAGATGTTCTGCTTAATGTTTCAACCTGGGTCATCAAGGAGTGCACAAACTCCAGAGAGGTAAGAGCGACTTGGTGCAGTCTTTCTGGCTACCATTAATCAGAGAAGGCAAGTTTTGAGGCAGTGACAGAAGCTTTGTCCACTGACTTGAAGACGTCGCCGCATTTGAAGGAGGGCCAGCTCTCGTAGGCTTTGCTGTGACCAGGTCTTGGAATATCCATTGCCTCGGGAAACCTGGGGATTTGGCCACCCCTGCTCAATAGCGTGTCAGCAAAGTCGGCAAATTGATTTTGGCCAGCAGAATTGATGGAATGCTTGAACAAACAATAAAAATCATCTCAAGTGATTTAAGACTAGAGCAACCAGGCGACAGGGCATGATCGCATCCAGACACCTTTGCAAACCTTTGCATTGGCTTTGCCAGGGCCAGGGCCTTGAGTACAGCAGAAAGCTGAAGAGCTTGTGGCCTTGAGCTAAGGAAGGTGACAAGAGCCTGGTTTTGGAGTTTGCAGAAAACTGTTTGTTTATTCGACGTCAGTACGTGCGGGCTATCCAATGCAGCAAAAGAAGTGAAAGGATGAGTGCTGTAAGCTTAAGGTGTAGATGGAAAGCCGAGAGTCTGCTGCGCGATTATCAATCAGCAGTGGTTGGCTGCCATACTTTCGAATAGACCGCAGTCATTTTAAGCCAGTCTGTTGTGGAAGTCAAAGGCACTCGGAGACTTCACGTTTAGAAGACCATGGCTGACCGTGCATAGGTTTCGGCTTGCTGGAGCACCGTCCTATGTTTTTGCATCCGCTTGCAGTACATTTTCAAGCTCACTGTATGTTTACAAGACTAAGTATTTTGGCCGGCCTGTGCCATATACCTTCGATAGGAAGTGATGGTCTTGCAATGAATGGCTAAGAAAAGCCATTCCTGCTGTCTCGTCTGCTGCAAACTACCTGTACAAACAGGCAAATTGCTGCTTCGTTCGGTTTCATCGGTGTCGGAGTTCTGTCAGATTTTTGCACCCGAAGTGGAAGGCACTCCGAGAATTCAGGTTTGGAAGAGCAATGACACCTAATTACAAATAATGTAAAGTTCCGCCTTGTTGCAGGCCGTTTTCGCTTCGCTTTCCATTCACCTTTTCATTTCTTGAGAAAGCCCAAGAAGTCGAAGACTGCCATGTCTTTGGATGAATACCAACCCCATAAGCCAGCCGAGGGATCATGTATTACCTGATGAACGGGCTGAAGAACCCCTCATTGCTAACGCTCTGCTCTGCTGCCAAGCGGGTCAACAACAGGATGGCACCACACTGTCTCTTCAAGCCAGCAATCGCAACAATTTGAAAGCTTCTAAATGTAAAAGGTCAATGGTGAAGATGAAAGCACCTGGTCAGTGCAACATGTTTTTTGTTGCAAAAGAGAGATAATTGGCAGGGTAATTCCATCATTCCTCAGGAATTGTAACGGAAGCAGATCTGACTTGGGCCCTTTGGCTACCTTGCCGCAAGCACCAATCTTGCTGGGTGGAATGATCTCTGCCACAAAAAGGTCGCTTGATCGCATGCCATTGAAAAAGAGCTAATGTTTTTTCGATCTTCGGGGACATGCAGAAAGGAAGGTCCTGTCATTTGTCCTGTCCAGACACTCAGTCTACTGAGCTTTGTTGAAGCATTGAGAACCTCCACAAATTTTCAAGCAGTTATAAAAGAGACCTTGGCTGTCTGCAGCAAAAAGACCCTCAAACTTTGCAAGGCTCAGGGTCAAGTATTTCGTGACCTCCCAAAAGCAGTTTTGCAGATATGTCATGTTGCTCCAGGCTATGAAACATTTTGCACGACGTGTCGATCGCTTGGAGTACCCCTTAGGACAGCAAGGACGCCTAGAGGAGGGTGTCCTGTCGGTGCTTGTTAATCATGACTCTCGGGCTCGCGTTGGCGTGTTGGCCAACCTGACGGCTGCCGGCCCGGTCCAATCTGATTTTCGATCCTCTCCCAATCTGATTTCAAAAGCACCACAGATTGGATTTCGACGCCAGAAACCTTGAGAAGCTGGAGAAGCTTGATTGTCACCCCTTTAAGTGACGCAGGCACATGGACTGCCACAATTTGTTGCTGCGATAAGAAACCAGATATCTTCCGCGATTTGGCAATTCTGCAAGGACGACCACAAGTTTGCTTCCGTGCGTCCTGTGTCCAGTGTTCGACTGTTCTTTGCTAGTCTAATCCTCTGCACCATGCATAAGAACAGAGGCACTTGAGTTACGGCCAAAAACGTCATGAAACAGGTTTGAATAATAAGAACAACATGAAAACATCATGATGACTTTCCAAAACCAAACCTTAGGCTGCGAAAGGTTTGCGCAAGAAAAAACTGTGTAATGGGGGTCTCAGCCAATGCTCATCTGGCTAAAACTCGGTACGCTCGTTTTTTGAAAGCATGTTTGTCACCCTCACAAGTTTCTTCGCTGCACACGATGAAACAAACGACCGGGCTAAAGCAGCACTCTCTGCTTTTACGAGAAAATCTGGTACGGACACGACTTGACCGTCCTCATTCTGGTCAATCTGCAGTGACTGTCATGGTTCGGTCAGTGCTTGATCTGTTGTCTATGAGGCATGACCCTAAATGATGAATTGTGGTCGGCTCTACGCTCGCTGACCAAACATGTCATCGCCACCCCAAGGTGGACATCCGAAGAGACGGTCCAACTGTGCTTGTCATGTGCCTGCCATCCAAAAAACGGCTTAGTGTTGAATGCTGATTCCTCCGGGTGCATTCTGTGGAATAGCTTCTGGCGGACCGAAGCTTGAGCTTCCAAGCCGACTGAGCTTGCTAGCTCCATTTTGCGAGACCTGCCCATAGACACTGAAACCCGGACCTTTCCTACAATGAATTTGAAGTTATTTCTTTTACTCGCTGGCACCACAGCTTTGAATCATAGAGGTTGTTGCGTGAAAGCGACCGGACGTTGGCGCCGGGACATTCTGAGTTCGCAGAGGTCGACGTCCCTTGTGCAGTGTCTTAAACGTACGGAGCCTGTGTCCGAGCAATGCAAGGGTGCTCCAGCAAGCTAGCAGCTTCCTTTTCCTTCCCTAATGAATTTTGCTTGATGTATGTTGCACGAATCGGCCTTGCGTGGCATTTTTTTGGAATAATCCTAGAGACCGATTTGCTGACATCTGCAGGCTTGCAGAAGACTTCACAGTTAGTGGACTCTCCAGGAATGAAGACGGCACAATCACCTTGCTTACTCTCTCAAGTGGAATGGACAGTCAGAGTGCCACCCACAAGATTAGACCTTGCTGTGTTTCGTGATAGCCATGCTGGAAAGCAAAGTTTGATGAAACACTCAAGGACCGTGCCCATTTGCTTTGCCCAAAAACCTGGACAATCTTGGAGCCCTAGCGGCCCTAGCTCATGCCTTTCAGAGAACGACTCAAGCTGCATGCAATGCATCGACTGGTCTCATGTGATTTATCCGAGATCAAAAATGCCATTCACGCAAGGTCCTAAGGTAATGTTGCAATAT